GTTTCCTTGATTCTTTTAAAATTTGGTCTTTTAGTTGGTTCAAACATCCAGCATTGGGACATAAGCGAATATAAACGAGGAGGACAATTATTCGGCAGTGGTAAACGTTCCCCATTTTCTAATTTAGTAATAACGTCATTGTTCTTAATACCATGAAATGGTTTAACGCCTAGCATCAATATTTCCCAACAACAAACTCCTGTTAATTAAATATTTAAAACGGCACATTTCAGATAAATACTTAATGCTAAACTTACCAAACATCCAAACATCACTTGCTGTTGTAAACCTACGAAAATTAATTGATTCTGGTGCCATCCATTTAATTGGAAGTTTACACATACTCGAGTGATAGTATGATTGATCAGATACCCAACGTGAAAGACCAAAGTCAGCAAGCTTTGAAAATATTTAAAATTTTTTCAAATTCAAGTATGTTTATATTGTAATAATGAAAATAAAATTTATTTGAATTATATAAAATAATTTTATCAAACAATAACATATCAAAATTATTAGTCTAATATTTCGGCCTACAAAATTTACCTTAATACATGTTGGTGAACTGACTAAAACATTCCGGGCTGCAATATCTCTATGAACAAACTTCTTAGATTCCAAATAGCTTAAAGCTGTTGACAGTTGATAGCAATATAATATTAAAGTTTCTCTCTTCATTCTATAAAGATAAAAGAAAAAAATGCGTTTTTATCCAAGTTCAGATCCATACTTCTTCGTTGAAGTAACTAATTGGCAAAGAATCTGCCGTACTCCTAATAAAATTTGGAAATATAAAGATTTAAGTAATGTTCGAACCATTCAGCATTGGCGTGATCTTGAAGGAGCACAAATGCAAATTGTGGAGAAAAAGGATTTATACTTTAAAGAGTGGATGCTATCAAGAATCAGGCCGGAAGCTTGTTTACCAATATACTATTGTACTGGAAATCGCTTCATTAGATTAGAAAAAGCATTTCCTGCTGGTTTTAAGTGCGCTCCGCTACCAATTAATCTTGAAGCAGCACGAGAAGTGAAAAGAAAAATCGACGGTATTTATACATTATTAAATCAATTTTTTATAAAAAAATTATATCAAATTGTTATTGATATAAAATACAGTGGATATAATTATATTAGTTCAAATGTGAAAATTTCTCTGATTGGTTTCCCTATTAATCTGCTATTTTAAAATAGCTTACGTTCTTTCGCTTGCGTTCAAGCTAATGTAAACTTTTATGTTGTATGTATTAAACATATTAAATAAGGCTTTGAACAGAACATTTTTTCCATTGCCAAAATTGGTAAAATATTATCCTTAGAGAGAAAACAATTAAAAATTAATATTTTTATTGATTTGTTAACAAATTATTTTACTATTACATATTGTTGACAGAAGAATAGTATCAGATTTTTCATTTCCATTGGAAATTTATGTTTCTTTAACACTTATAAATGTTACAAGTTAGTTGTTTCAATGTATTAACTTTGCTATACTGATTTCTTATTATTGATTTTAAATCATTGCCATATATGTAATTTATAGATGTAGAAAATGTCAAATATTTTTTAATAATAAAAAATCATTTTTACTATTGTTTAGAAGCAAAGAAGGCAGCAAGAAAAGCTGCAAAGGAGGCAAAGAAAAAGAATAAAAAAGACAAGAAGGGCAAAAAGGGGAAAAAATAATTAGATCAACGTAAGAATTACATAGAGGAAGGCTTACCTTTCACTATTAGTTTTAAGATAAGATCGCAATTCACCAAGTTTCGCTAACTCCATAACGATCCAGATCGGAGAGGAGCTGCAGATACCAATAAGACGAATTATATGAGGATGATCAAACTTCTGCATAATATCTAATGTACAAAAAAAAAAAAAATAATTATGAAAGAGTGGTAAGTTTCTATAATTTTATTGATTTACATGCTTCCTCTAAGAAATGATCTGAATTTTCAGACTCTTCAGTGGTTTTACAAGTTTTTACTGCTACTTGTATTACTGTCGATAATTTGGTATCAATGATGTCATTTTTATTTTTTAAGTTTTGCATCTTTTTGCCACTATTTTTTATATGGAATGTGCCAATATGAACATCGCCGAATTGCCCAACACCAATTACATCATTCAACGTAATTTGATTCCGATCCAATTCATAATTTCGAACTAAATGTGAAAAAGTATATTATTATAGTTTCGATAAATAAATTACATAATTACGCTAATAATCAAAATAATAAAATTAAAATATTTTATCTATTTTTTTTAAGTATTAGTGGTAAGTAATTACATATATACATATAAATGAAAGTAAATGGACAAACCAGTAGGAGTTGAATAATCTCCCTCTTCTTCAACTAAACCAATTTCTGCATAGTCTTCGGATAATTCTGGCTTCTTAGTCGATTTTTTATCTGAACCGCTTGAATTTATAGTATTTTTACTACTATTATCGATATCATCAATACCAGTTGATAAATTCTCTAAGCAATTGGTTTCATTTAGGTTTCCTATTTTTGACTGGTATGGCTGCCAAACTTTATATTCCAAATTGTTGCTAATTAAACGGCAGTAACCATCAATAAGATCCGCAATGCTGTCAGCAGTCTGAAAGAAAAATAAATTTTTATATTTAACTGGATTTTTTTTCTTTTTGTTTTTAATAATCACCGTAAGACCATCACAAGTAACAATTAAATCCTCATCATTACTAAATGTTGTGATTCGTATTTGAATTTTTAACTCACGACAATTACATCTTATATCAGTGGCTTCAATAGAAGTGGAAGAATCATTTGTTGGATTTTCTTTGGGTAGAGTATATGTTGTTATCATTTTAATATCAGTGAAAAATGCAACCATTGTTATGCTTGCTTGAGGATGAGTTTGGTACGAGATTCCTATAAACAGTGTATATTATTGTATATTAGATTCTCAATAAAAAAACATGCTTAATATATACCAATATCGTAGCCAACGTAAAATATTCCCGATATATTCCAAGCTGAGCTTAATGTCACGGCAAATTTTTCATAATTATAATTGTATAATGTACTAACAAGTTCAAAGAATCTAAAAATATAAAAAATATAAAAAAACATTAGTCTACTTTTATAAATTAATACAATTATATTATATTAAGGATCTAGACTCCCAATAGAGCAAATATGGTGACCACAATTGATAATTATAGCAGATATTACGTGCTATAAAATACGGAAGGTTCTACGTCCTAGCGCCACTCGTCAATCTTGATGAATAAATACCGTTCACCACCCCCTAAATGGATGTTACAAGCAGATTCCTGTGGGTTACCACAACAACAACAATAGTTACAATAATCAATATAATCAAAATAGCTTGTTTGTAGTAATCAATTATTATAAAAAAATTTTAAAAATTGTAATGTGTTATTATTATATATAATTTACAATAAATTTTTCTTTTTACTGTAAACTAAGCATATAACTGATTTTTCACATGCATCTGTGCATATGTTTATTAAAATGAAAGATGACATTCTATAAAGAATAAAGGTGCTACAAAACTTCAAAAAAAAATAATAATAGCACGGGAAAAGTAGCTGTAGTTTGTGTAGTATGACCATCTCCAAATAATGTTTGCGTGTGGAAGATGAGATACAACGTGTACGATAAGTTAATAAAGTATAAAGTATAATTTATTCTTACTTTGTAATATACTCCTGTTCACTATAATTATACAACTTCTTGTATGTGGACTGTATCATTTTTTTAAGATTCTTTGGCTTTATTGAATGTATCACAGCTTTCGGAAAAAATAGATTTAGACCAACTTCTTTTTCGACAAAGTCAACATGTTGCTTCCTATCCATAGACTTCGTTACATTAGTTTTTAAATAATAACGAATGCAAAAACAACCAATTTGTGTAGCCACTTCAATATCAGCAGATATATTTGATTCAATATAATCCTGATGTATCTAAAAAGAACAAAATAAATATTAATAATACTTAGATCAGTAATAACATTTTTATTTATTTATTTACCTGATCAAATAAGTTGTAGCAAGTTATGATGTCTTCTTTATATAGAGTATTTATATTACTTGGAATATACCTTACACGCAACTCAACCCGCCACACGCTATTTGAAATATATTTACCAACCTTTTGCTGTTGATTACCTAATTGTGCATAGTTGGGACATTGAACGTTCGTGCAATTCGCATTCCAAATATAAGCAAGCACATCCGTCATACATTTTGTTCGAGTAAGCCATATTTTTTCATTTGTTATCAAATTATTTAACCGAAGTGCATAATATAATGTGTTCACGTTATTGCCAGCATATGAAGTGCGGATTGTTTCCTCGATGATATTGCGTACGGTGTTATTTTCGTTAAAAACAATTGATCGAGAAGTTTTGTTCGGTAAGTAAACATGCAGAACGGAATCATTATGTACACCTGAAATAAATATATAAAATTTTAAATGAATTTTACTTTATTGTATATATTTATGATAACATAAAGAGTAAACTATACATATTTATAAATATATATAATTATATATGAGCTAAAATATTTACCTTCATTGTTGGTAAAAGAGTTAGGCGATTGCCCTGTATATAAATGTGGATTTGACATGGAACACCCTTTTTCTGCAAAGATAACATTTATATTTATATTTGTAAATTGATCATTTAAATGAATAGTAAATGCATTGTTACCCACTTTTCTTATAGCATATTAGTATCCATATTTATCGATCCTTTTGTTGACAATGAATGTTGATTTGAATCATACATACGGTAAGATGAGTTAACATAAATTAAATTAATTAATAAATCAGTTAATTTTATAAATATTTAATATTAACATAAATCCAAAATTTAATTTTTAATAATTAATCTTTAGTAGATATTTAATAATTAAATATAATCAACTGTAAACAGTGATAAATTTGCATTCCGGCTAATATAATACATATTTTACATTAAGTTGTAAATATAGAAATTCAGACTATATATAAGCTATTATGTAATATTACTTGTATATATACAATAAGCATTTTTAAATATTGGATTAATATTTCTAAATATTAATATATTAGAAGAATATATAATACATAGATTATTTGCAATACGTTAACTTGGCATAAAATTATTTATTATTTTATGCACTTTTTTAAAAACATAACACAATGTTTTTGTAATATATCCATATTCCATATGTATTCAACAAAAATAATAAAAGCAATTAGATATTAGTTATGTCATTTAAAAATAAAATGGCAATATTTTGTTCGACCATATTCGATTATGAATAATTTTTTACATTTGTGTTGTGTAATTATATAAATATAAGCTAAAAAATTTGAACTCAGTATAATATGTAAAAATAAAAAACAACCTACAATATTAATGTAACTTCTCAGCATTTAATATTTTTAAAACAATATTTTCATTTTTACCTCACTTAAGGTGTTTACGCCTCATTTGTTCGTGCATATTTTTTACACATATATTTGTGAAAATGAACTTAAATTCTAAGCTCTGAATAAATATATTATAAAATCGATTATTATTTAACACTATATAATTAAAATTAGTTTGAAATGTATTTAAAAATAATAATATTTATATGAAAAATAACCCGACACAAGTTACTGCATTTATTTAATAACAACTCTGCTGAATCGATTATTACAAGATTTAAAGGGAATAGTGGTACGTTGGAACAAATCAGCAACATCAGTTCAAATTTTTTGTCAGTGGTGATATTTATCTACGAGATAATCAAATTTCACCAATCTTGACGTATAAATCAAATATCAATTTTCACTCCATATGACATATAAAATTAACACAGAGCCAATAAGAAAATGTATAATATTTTAATTATGGTGAATAAATGTTGTTCAATTTTGATAAGTATTGTTTGTGTACATATATAATTGAGAATGAATAACAAAACGTATTAGTGTTAAAATTAATTTACAAAAATATTTACAATCGTGAATCTATTACTAAAATAATGAGTAACGCTTTAGAGAATGAATTTGATTTGTTAAAACAGCTAATAGTGTTTAAACAAATTGATAAGATAAATGAATAGCTGTACAGTAATATAACAATAAGTATAATAAATCTGAAATATGTGATTCTTTTTGATAGCGCTTTTCTGCAGACAATCATTTGACAAATGGTCACGGCAAATTTACGTTCTTTTTGGTTACGACTAAAATGCATGTAATGCAGACTACTGCTTTTGTACTTTTTTATTGCGATTAAATTTAAAAGGATATGTAATAGTACGTTTCCACTGCTTCCTTAGAAAGCTTAGCTTACTAAGTAAATTTTATTAACCATACAAAGAGCTTCTTTGCATTTTCACTTACTTTAAAATATAGTAAACAAAATTCGACCAAAATTATACGAAAAATGAATGTAACATTGATAATTATCGAAATTTGACTTAGTTAATACAAGAAACAAAATGTAAATATAACCAAAAAATTAGGCACAATGTAAATATTAACCAACAAGAGGTAAGAATTTTTAAAATATTTTTTTTTTATAAACAAATTATATAGTTGAATTATAAAAACATAAAAATAAGTTTATATATCAAATATATATTTGATATCATTATACAATTTCATATATTTTTTAACAAAAAATATTTCAATTGGATGTCAGGACAGATAATGGATACGAGCTCACAAGTATGCATGGTGCATTTATAATGTTTGTAATTCAATAAAATAAAATATTATTAATACTAGGAAAAAACATAACAATTGGGAATATGTGGACTGAGGGAGGTGAACAGTTATTTATATTGGCCATACAATGAAAGAAACACTTAGTTGATAGACTAATCAGTTTTGAAGATGGCAAGAGGATGTCCACACGAAAGAGCCGTAGCGGACATAGTGACTAGTCAATATATATTTTTTATTTTTAATTTCTTTATTTATTATTAATGTAGTTATAGTACATTTTATTTTTAATTTATAAGTTATTAATGTTATTATTAGTTGAAATAAAACTATTGAAAATTAAATAATTTGTATTTTTTTATAAATCATTGCACTTTCTTTTCTATATGCAACAACTGTAAAGAAACTCAATGTTACTAAGTAATTTACTTAGTAAGTAGTGGAAATGTAGTATAAATATGCTCACTTACGCTTTGCCAATAAAAATAAACTCATAGAAGCTGTAAAAATGTTAATTTATCCTTATATTATGTTGCAATAATTGTTAATAATATATACAAAATTAAATTTCCTTAAATTCGGAAAGTCTAAGAATTCAATTATTAGCGGTTTATTAAAATATCTGTGTTGCTTCCTGGCATTTTCTTTTGTAAAATTTTTTAAAATTGCAGTAATTTGCTCCTAAAAGGTACAAATTTTGACATTTATGACTGAGCAACACTCTTTTGACTAACATGAGGCACACAAAGACTTATCACCGTGATGAAATTTTACGCGGCATTTTATTTTTTCTCAGTTTCAATTTTTAATTTGCATTAAAATTGACACATTACATAAAGCATTAGTTTATTTTTTCTGGTATTTTTTGTACAACACGAAAACCATCTGTATTCACTTCCCAGAGTTTTAGTTAGGCATGTTCTCTTGATTGAAATATTTGTGATAAAGTTTTACCGGTTTTATGAACACATGTTTTTTTAGATAAAAGTTGGTTTTACATTATCTCAATTCAAATCATGAAAATTTATCTTTTGTAGAGTTGTACTTCATTAATTTACAACTGGTTTAAAAAAATCATTAACATTTCATATATTTTAATTTTTTAACTAGAGGTTTTTTATTATTTCAGTGATAGTATAAATTAATGAATATTATAAATAGTGAAATATATATTGAATAAACATTTACAGAAAGTTTCAGAAAAAAGTTTTTTCTCAATCGAAGTTCATCTTACTAACACATTTGTCCTGTTTACACAAGTACTAAAAGTTGTTTAACGGCTTTTAAAATCAATTTTAAATACACTTTGAAATCAGTTTCTATTAAAAACAACTTAAGGTTACTAAACTTAATGTTAATTTAAACGTTAGAGATACAGCTTAAAAATAATTTCTACATTAAATATCCGTTATCAGCTGACAGTTACTTTAAAAGTACTTTTAATAGTTTCACGGAATAGCCGTTAAAATTGATTTAGAAATTTGTTTTAAAATAGTTTTTAAGGCTGGTGTAAACATCATATTTTTTTGTTTTTAAAAATATTGGTATGGAGGTGTTCAAGGTTGTGCAGCATACATTTTGTAAATAGAACCTCAATCGAAGTTAATATCAAAATTTTAGTTGACATTTTTTATGGCTTTGGACATCTATGTATATACATACATAAATGGGTATATATATATATATATATATATAAGAACAATTGCTTATTCAAACTTGCTTATATGTATGACGTGGTATTGCGTAAGTGGATAAAATCCAGTCTTAATCGGGTCAGTGGAAAGACTTTTTCATGGAGGACATCACCAGTTACGGTGCTGATAATGCCGATGGATACAAAAAATAATATATGAGTTTACATGCGTTGATGCGGAAATAACCTAAAAGTACTTTAGTGACATTAATTTTATGGCGAAATTCATTCGTAGTTACTTATTTTACTAATATAATAAACTTAAAAAAAGAATTGTATTTACAACCAGTACTTAACGAATTCATATAAAATAAAAGTAACAATAAATTATTAAAAATGCGTCATTGCTTTCATTTTAGGTTCAAATATATTAGAACGCAAAAATGTAATAGATTACTACATCTGTAACTTAGCACTTTTGGTAAATGATACATTGTGTTCTTTTTTAAAGAATAGTTGTTGTGGGAAGGTTTGAGTTCCTATCTCTACAAGTATGGCTAACTTGAGCGTCCCGATTACTACACGACAACTTCGGGCTTGCTTGCTTTGTTCGCTGATTAAGGTAAGAGGAGATTTCCTTCGTGTAATCCCAAATTTAGTGTGTAAAATCGTAAAAAAAAATACTATATTTACTTGCAGGAAACTAATTCATTCGTAAAAGACGGGTGTGATAATTGCAAAGACCTAATTCCTATGGCAGGTGACAGAGAGGCGGTTGACCAATTTACTAGTAAAAATTTTAAGGGGCTAGTAGGAAGTATGGATCCAGAAAATTCATGGGTTGCCAAATGGCTCCATGTTGGTACGTTAATATGCAAAACTTATTTCATATCATGAACAATATTTTAATTTCCTTAATAGATGATTTGGAACCCGGAATGTATGCAATTTCAGTTGCTGGTGACTTGCCAAGGCATGTTCTGAGTTCTTTACAGAAACAAGGTTATCGTTATCGCAACCGCGATCGATCTGGTAGAAAACCATATGAATAATTTGTAATTGTTTCCTTTAACGTAATGAAGTAAAAACTACACAAATTAATTTTAAAATTAATTTTATCTTTTAATTTTATATATGAAGTATTATTATTCATTATATTAATTATAATTTAATATGATGATAATGTATGTTTGGAAGGTTTTTTTGCCGATATTAACAAAGAATATAACTAACAGCTTGCCAAAAACATAAACATTGATTTGTTAAGCACGGCTTCCTCAGCTTTTAGTCTACGAGTCTACGGTCGCGTTAATTTTAAAATGGGTCTCTACGGGTGTATATTACCGTTTAAATTTATTTATTTTGGTCATTCGTTACTAATTTCTAATATAACAATATTATATTATTAAATGAAGTTTAATTAACAATTTATAATTTTTCTATGATTATATTTTTATTATTATTTATAATGATACTAACTGAAACATTTTTATTAACACTTATTATTACGGTGGTTTTTGCGATTATTAATTTATATTAATTTTCAACTGAAATATTGACAATGCCAACGAAAAGATATTGTGACCGTCGTATTGTGACAGGCTCACTACACTAATTATATATAACTAAACAAGAATAAAGTTTTGTAGAGCCAGATAATAGTTTCTTCCTGACTTTTATTTTACGATGTCGATTCACAAGACTTTGGAATCAAAGTTCAAGACTTTTGGGTTCGAACACTTGTCTACATTTGTGTCATTATCGGGCAGTCCGATATGTGTATACCTATTTGAAAAAATCCGTGTTAGTTAAGCACCTGTCACTGATTAATTAGTGACAAAATTAAAACAAAATTAATATCTTTGCATTGATTTCATTGCACAATGATCAGTAGATACAATGGTTTTTACTACTAGAAAAAACTCAATTAGTATACGTATATACACGCGTTCCTCATACTCGGAAATTTTAGATTTAATCTGAAGCACGCCTACTTCGCAATCACGAAAAATGTCCTCGCTGGCGGATATTTCTTTAATTGCTGCAACATTTTTATTGTACTGTGTTATTACATCTTTATTATTTGAAAATTGTATATCCTATGATAAGAAATCAATTTCGAATAGGAAAGGGTAAGAAGGTGAATGAGAAATTGTTTGAAAAATATTAATTTCATAATTAAATGAATTCTTGTTAAATGATTGAATTAGTTATGCATATTTAAAATATCAGGAAATACAAAAAGGCTTTGTAGTTTGTTTTTTTATTCATAAAGCGTGTTACTTTATTGTAAATAAATTTTAATTTTTATTAATATATTTTCTTAAAATATTTTTTATTTATTAAACATCTGTTGTTTATTGTAATTATTGTAAATGAATTTTAATTTTTATTAATATATTTTCTTAAAATATTTTTTATTTATTAATATCTGTTGTTTATTGTAATTCTAGCTAGACCTTCTAAAAGTTGATTGAGCTGCGTATAACTCGAATCTTTAGAGACACTCTAAAGTCTTAATATAATCTAAACCCCTTTCTTATTGAAAATATATGTGGTTGACTTGTAAGTTTAAGATAGTTTTGTTAGGTTGAAATTTTTAATTTTCTTCAAATTTTTAATTTATTTTTTATCATTTCATAAAATTTAATATTAGTATAGATTTTTAATTTACTTTAATTGAAATTACTTTTTATAAACTAATATAATATATATATATATATATATATATATATATATTTATATCCTTTCAATAAAGTATTATTAATATGTATTAAATTATAAATAAATATATTTTCTGCTTAAACAAAATCATTAAATGTTTGCAGGGTGATTGTTTTTGCTTTGATGTACACAAAATAGATAAAACCAAAGTAATACAGACGAAACTCCATGATTCCCTTAAGAAAACGCGTTATTCCGTCTGGCAACCTTGGTTGCTTGAGTTGAATAATGCTTCTCCAACATTGCAGTGGCATATTTTTAAATACATAATTTTTTATAAAAGTATTTCTTACATAGATTTTAATTTGCGTTTTTATGTGTATTTATACAAATTAATTATGTTTTATGAGTTTAATGTATTTAATATAAGTCAAAAAATAGCAATTGTTTATATTAATGTAAATTAGAAAGGTGATAAAAAATATACTAAAACGCCATCTTTATTTGATTACAATCAAAAGATTTAAATTAAAAATTACCTTTTGTTTTGTATATTAGTTTTTAATATAGTAAAAAGTGGAACAAAGTTCGGTTTTTTATAATATAAAATATATCATCAAAATGTCGGTAAACAAAAATAGTCAAACTATAAAAGGAAATATATCTGCAAATGAAACTACGCCTACAACAAAAGGAGTTAACAATTTGGTAGTGCGTATCGATCAAGATTCAGATGATAATTTGCAAGCTTTATTTGACAGTGTGCTTAATCCTGGTGACTCAAAGCGTCCTTTACAAGTGCCTTTTCGAATGCGAAAACTTCCAAACTCGTTTTTTAATCCTCCAGCAGTTAGTGCGAGATCGCCATCAGTATCGCATTCACGAGCTAATAGTGCCGATTCCGCTTATGATACTGGATCTCAATCAAATGTGAATCAAACAACAAATGTTACCCCGCCCACTACATCTCAAACTTCATCGCCTCACACTACTGTTGCTCAACCTCCGACAATTCCAAGTAAATTACCAATATGTCATTCACGTGCCCACAGTAGCCCAGCTTCTCTTCAACAAACTTATGCTATACATTCAAGTAATATGAGTGGAGAACCCGGGGCGTGTGTACCAGAAAGTGGTCCGACAGGTTTTACAACTGGACTTGTAAATTTTCCACCTGGTATAAGCGCATCAAATAATAACGAAATTGAGCAAATGACCCAACCAACTGCACCAGTTCAAACATTTCACATGAAACAACGTTCTTATGATTTCGTAAGTCCTATTCAATTACAAAATGACTTGGGTCCATTACCAGCTGGTTGGGAACAAGCCAAAACAAACGATGGCCAAATTTACTACTTAAAGTAAGTTATTCATTTTCTTTGCTTAAATAATTTTTTTTTAAATTTTTGTATTATTTTTATAAATTTTTATAAATATTAATAAAAAAAAACTTTCAGTCACACAACAAAAACTACGCAATGGGAGGATCCAAGAATTCAACTAAAACAACAGCGCACAGCGCACCAAGCAATTAATTTTGGTTTGTTTACATATATATTACACAAAGTAATAAAATTTTAACATAAAAACTTTTAATAGCTAATTTAAGAGCTTCCCAGAGAGAAACAGTATCTCTTACAGATAATCTGGGTCCTTTGCCTGAAGGTTGGGAGCAGGCATTAACGGAATCCGGTGATGTTTACTTTATTAATCATATCAATCGAACAACTTCATGGAATGATCCTCGAATACGTATGATTTTATATAATATTATTAATGTAGTTAATATGGTAAATAACATTTATTTTAGCAGCCGATTTTTTACGAAAAAATTTGAAAGTCTCTAAACCCGAAATAAATTGGATGGACTTGCAACATACTGAAAAAGAACAAGAATTTTTTAAACAAAAACCCGAACAGGTTGAATTTGAACAAATATAATAATATTTAATTACGTATTTAATTTTTTATTTAAAGATTGCGCCATTAGCTAGACATCCTGTTAATCTACAAATGGATCCATTCCTTTCTGGCGATAATCACGCTCGACAAGAATCGAGTGACAGCGGTTTAAGTTTATCATCAAATACATTTTCAGTTAATTCGGAATTTATAACACATATAGATGACAGCATGGACTGTATTAGTGGTTAGTAGATTAAAATATTTAAGAATTAAATCAAATACTAATGTATAAATTTTTTAACAGAAAATGGTATAAATTCTTTAGATTGTCCAGACAATTTAGTGTCTTCTTTACAGGTATGTTGTATTAATGTATAATTAATTAATTTATTCATATCGAAAATGGTATTTTATATATGTTTTTTTTTTTCTTTTAGTTGGAAGATAATATATGCAATGAAATGTTCGATGTTCGCAACATGTTAAGTTCATCTTCGACCAAGCCAGATAATTTGGAATGGTATAAAATAAATTAACATTTAGTACACGTAAAATTGTATTAAATTACGAGTTATTTTTTATATATTACATTTTTTCAATTTTAATAAATATGGTATGCGATATAATATAATCACCTAAAAAGAATTAATTGTTATTATGGTTTAACTAAATTTAATTTATTTTTTCATATTTTTGTATTCTATATCATTAGGAATGTTGTTTAATGTTATATGAGGTTCTTCCTTAAAAAATGGCATATAATTTTCAATGTTATTCGAAATACAGTGTAAGACACTATAATAAGGAAATCTTTATCATAAAATATTATAATATCATAAAATGATTCATTCAAATAATTTAAGCCAATATACAATTTTTTTTTTTTGATCCATATTACTTTAATTTTTTAGGTTATGCCATTTCTGTTCGCATCAAAGTTTGTCATATATATTAATAATTATATCAGTCAGATTTATTATCTTTAATCCCATTTTTCGGGTAACAATCAAAAATATAAAAAATAAACATATTTGTTTGCATGTTTGCTATATATAAACCAAGAAAAGTTAATAGATTATTTTAGGTTTATAATTAAAAAGAATGAGAGCGTAAACACAGTTGAATATTTATTTCAAAATGTTAGGTACGTCAGTTGTCCTAATTAATTCGCATTTACAAGTATAATGATTTGTGGAACCTATTCAACCGTGATATGTAAGAATTAATATAAATTTAGAAATACCTATTCTAAATATCTAGACAATATAGTGGGCTGTAGATAAAGGAATACAGTGGAGTCTGGGTAGCGTAAACTTATTATTGCACAGTTCTGCTCACATTATCCAATTTCTTTATGCTGTTTAAATTTAAATTTATGCACGAGTTCAATATTAGTACGTTCGTATAAGTATTCTACGAAGAAACTAACAATGTAAAATAAAACAAGATAAATAATTGTTTTTTGTAGTTGCTTATGAAATATTTAATGTGGTTTTTCAATTCGAAATTTGTTGTTCAGGTTAATTGGATGTACACGGAGGTATACTCTACTCAACCTACACTGTAATTTAGTCTAGACTTTTAACATTAATTCATAACGTAGCTGATCAGCAGATAACTTTCCACTGAAATCGGTCTTTCGTTCTTATCAATAAACATTCTGACAAGTTGAAAAAAAATCTTATCAGACTGTTCAGAGCCGGGCATTCGTAAAGAAAATGTTTAATAGTTTCTTTTTCCTTAAAGATTCCACAATTACAATAAGAACCAAGAAATGTACAGTTTTTCTGAGTGGATTGCTATACATCAGCGGCTAGAGAAGTGTAGTAAGTCTAACAGTATTCACGCGAGAAATGAGTGAATACTAATTTTTTTAATTTATAATGAGTTTTCAAGAGTTTTGTATTGTATTGTAATAAGAGGACCATATTAACCGGAAAGTTACACATGATCTAAGTTTTTTCCATTGGTTATTAGCAAACTGAAGAAAGTAGATATGAGTACTTCTAAGTACAATCTGCAGTGAAACATAAGTCGGTAGCAATAGAAATACATCTAGATTCTAGATCATCTGATTTTTCTTTTTTTTTAATGTTCCTCGCCAAACAAATATATAATAAATATATAAAAATTTTTCTTAAATGAAATAAAAGCAGATATTTTTGATACTATATACACGTAAATAAAGTCACTATAGGAAAAAATTTAATCTAATTTTCTTAAATCTCTAGCTTAAAATAGTATAATCATATAGATTATTTTATTAGACAAAATTGTAATACAAAATAATTATATATATAAAACAACAACAAAAAACCATTTAACTTAGATTCCAACAGCCCCATATGCAACTTTATTGATATAATTTCCATGTATAAATCACGTTTTGAGCTAAGCATATCAACTGATAATGTAAGGTAAGAGCTTATCTGTCTTTAAATTTAAATTCTTAAATTCAAAGTAAATGTCAAAAATTGAAAAGCTGTAAATATTACTTTAAATTATATATTAGTATGCCCTGTGCTTATTTAAATAGGTTTATAAAGCACAATATATTTATAACGGATAAAAAAATTATAGATACAGGTAAGTATTTTAAAGAAACAGTTGAAAAGGGAGTGTAAAAAAGTATATACAAAAAAAGTCATAGTAGACAATAGGTCAACTATTACCAGAGTGGTAATTCTGGTATTGTCAAGAGTCTACTTTAAAAGTAAGTAGAAGAATATGTATTTTAATATTAGGCTAGTTATTAACCCGAATTAATCTTGGTTCCTCACATTTAAACATATTAAAAATGAGAAAAAAACCTACTTTATGCTATTTGAAAAAAAGGACTTAAGTTATTTTTAATTTGAAAGTAAATGATATGGAAATCATATGTAAACGGTTCGTTTTTTTTTTTGAATTTTATTTAAAACTAATGAACGGATATAATTATTATTTTGATGATTATCGAAAATATCTACATAATTTAATTTGTCTTCACAACTGTGGTTTTGAGATAATGTCTTATGGAACAAGCAGTTTTTTACATTAAGAATAATCACTACTGAAATCTCATTTTCCGCATTGTCCCAATTTTTAATTCAAGTAGATAGTAGATAATTCAAGTAGATAGCTTGAATACTATGGTGAGCTGATAACTTCTGAAGTTATTAATTTAGTATTTATGAGTACTGTTCGTTACCAAAGTTATTGTATCATATAGATATGAATTGCATAACTCAACCAAAAGTCTAAAATAGAGGTTTAATGATAAAGATTAGGATACGAAATTTTTGATGTATAAAAAAAGTTATTAAGAGATTACTTATAATTCTCTGCAACAAATTTAAATAATATATACATTCAAAAATATTTTGTTAAAGTTAAGATCATAACATATGTTATTTTTGTAGCAGATTAACTCTTAGTAATTTTAATTACTAAGTTTTTTTATGTTTTAGAACATTGTTACAATTTCCGAGGTTTATAGATGATTTATGAAAACTGTAATTTAATTTTTTTTTTTCAGAATTTTAATAAGAATAATTATTTTTATGTAAAATCCTCAACATTATTTTTTGAACTAATTATATCAGATATTTGCTAATGATTTTTAATAAGTACTTACTTTCTTGTTGATGATACCTTTCACACAAATAGTGATATTGCGGAGGAATAATTAGTTAACAAAATTTCAATTTCCAATTATTAACTTATAATATATAAATTATTATTTCATATTATAAACTTCAATGAATTTTAAATATACACATTTCTATAATAAGCAAGACAAAATTGTTATTGTTGAAAACTTGTTTTTTTTTACATAGCCTTTTATTTCATTTTTACTTCTTGTTCTCTTATTTACACTTTACATCCAAAAAGAATAATATATGTACGTAACAATGTATTAACATCGGCAGCATTGAAACGCTTAAGTTTTGGCTTGAGAATTTCCATAAAAATTATTAGCAAAATTAATTTGCAATTAAAAAATTGCATATTATTTTGGAAACACACATTGTAAATTATGCACTACTGACAAAATTTCCTAAAGGGTAAAAAAATGCATTTAAGTTAGATTTATAGTATGTCAACCTAAAAACGCCACTTTAAGTATTAAAAACATTTTTCCTATAAAAAAATGAAATTAACTAAATTTTAGTACTAAAATTTTCATAGACGAGAGGTAGTTTAATTAGTCTTATACTGCATAAACATTATGAGAAAAAATTTAAAAATAATTAAGATTTATTAGGGTGGCAAACATCATTAATTTTTTTTTATTTGCATTCTTTGGAGAAGAAATATTTTCAAAGATATTGTTCGTTATGAAGTTTTTAAATATTTTACATAATTCGATCAATTTTTTATTGAATTGTATCCAATAATATTACTCTCTAAGCTTATATACTTTTTTTTGCTACTACATATGTGTGGAATAACATCTGGAAATGCTTTATATTAAAAACAGAAGACAAAACAAATTTTTTATCTTAACATTTGTATATACATACATAGGTAAGTCAGAATACTAAACTATAATATATATGCCTGACTTACATATATATATATATATTTTATATATATATATAT